GGTTTCGCACACTCGCTCTGATTGGTCAACTCTTATACCAGGTCGACAGGAAGTTGGAAACTTTATCTTAAAGCCCCTAAACCAGTTTTTATGACGTAGTAAGGTCTAGTTACTTAGCAACGAAGCTCGGCTTAAAACAGTTATGACATTTATACCCTCATCTGAACGGAGCCTTAGTCTCGAAACGTCTAAAGGCTGAAATGAGTTGTGTCACTTTTCATATTGTTGCCACCAAATTTTACTTCCCTGTATTATATTTAAAGAAATTAAATAACGTGTGTGTGCGATTATTGCAAAGCCTCGAGGGCTATCTGCCTAAAGGGAGGATGCCTTCGTGGAGGACTTTCTAAGGGAAACTGGCTCGTATATACGTTACACATGGGGAAAACCACGAAAACACCCATGCAGCCAGCACGTTCCCGGGATTCGAACCTCGGACCGAACTACCAGTGTTCAGCGACTTTACCGCTCGGCCGCTGGTGGGCTCGGAATTAAATAACGAAGAATGCATGTGTCTCGCTTTGTGATAAAACAACGGCACCTAGAACCATCAAATTTTGAATAACGTTGTCCTTCACCCGAATGTGGGCAGCCGGAAGCGAAATTTGGACTCAAGAGTCTGTTTTTATTATCCATTTCATATTTTGTAAAGCATTTATGAGTTTTTGTTTAAGAAACTCGACGATTTCAAAGCGAGCAATGGCAAAACTGTTCGGGGAAAAAAAAAAAAAAAAACTTTTTTATCTTCAGGCGCACGGGATTGTGTATCGGAAATTCTAAAGATATGTTTTTTTAAATATTTTGTGATATTGCTGTTGAATTGAATTTCATGGCTTAAGTACGAAGAACATGATATTTAATAACTAAAGGTAACACACAAAACGTTTAAAAAAACATCCCCTTGGACGTTATATAAAATCTGAAAGCTTTCAGATATTTTTTTTTAATTTTTCAATTTATTTATTTAATTTATTTATTTATTTTATTTTTAAATTTTTATTTTTACTCTTAAATATAAGTTTAAAGGCATGTGTTGACTAGTAATTTTTTATATACCAAGAACTGGAACTGCGGAAGCTCGGTCACAGAAAATTACCATTTTCCCAAATTTATTGGGAACGGAAGTCATTTGTCTCAGAACTATTTGAATCTTTCACCGTTGTCTTCTTCCGATCAAAAGATGCGATATCCTCCTTGTGCATAAGATATGTTTCCTTGTATGTTGTTTAAGAGTTTAATTTGTAAGAACTTTTAAGGGATTCTTCAGAATAAACTTAGTTTCCATAGTCATCAAAGGATTCGCTTTCAAAACTGCCTGCTCAGGATGTCTCTTAGCTTTCTCTAGCCTTGAGTGACATTATATAAACAGATTTTAAAAAATTCTTAAATCTTCTTATAATAACATTTCTTCTTTAGTTCCTTTTTTAGCCCAAAGGGGCAATTTGTACAGAAGTGCTATTAATTTCGCTTTGGCAAATTATGTTGGTTCACTATATTACGGCGTTTCACTTTTCAAATTATTGCCACCAACTATTATCGCCCTGTATAATTATTTTAATGAAATTAAATAGTGACGAATATGTACTAAAGTATGTTTCTCGCACTATGAAAAAAAAACCGACGGTACCTAGAGCCATCCATTCTGAATAACGCAATCCTCCACTCGAATATGGGCATCTGGAAGCCAAAATTTGGAATTCATTTTATTATATATTTCATATTTTGTAAAACATTAAAACATTTTTGATTAATTTCAAAGATTTAAAACCCAGCAATGGCAACACCGTACGAAAAAAAAACATTTTTATCTCCAGCGCTCGAGTCTTTCTATGGGAAATTCTAAAGATATGTTGTTTTGCTGTTTTTAAATATTTTGTGATATATTATGTGGTTTGCGAAGATTTAATAAATAAAGGTAAAATGCAAAACGTTAAAAAAATTAACCTTTGAGCATAATATAAAATCTGAAAGCTTTCAGATTTTTCTGAGTTTTCTAAGTATTATTTCCAAAATTTTTCTAAGCGCGATGAGATAAAACTTTAAAATTTTAGTTTATCATTTCAATTAACTGTAACTATAATAGATAGAATTTGCTCTTTTTTTAAACTTCTTAAGAACAGAAAAAAAGTGATGCACTATTACTTAACTGATCACAGGTTCTCAAATGCTTTAAATTTATTGAATTTAAGCATCACTGTGAGAAAGTTTTTGAAACTAAGATTTTTACAAATCACAAAATAACATTTTCAATTATGGAAAAAGTATTATTATACTCTAGCAACGTATCAAAACTTTAGTTTTCTTGCTAGTTCATTAAACTGTAGCTTGTAGCAATATTTATTATGTATGACTAACTACCGGAGAGAAATTTAATTAATATATGAGAAAAAAATTCAGATTTTACTTTATGAAATGCTATTGAATGAAAGTAAAATATCAGAATTACGCTGCTCTGTAACATGTTTGTTACTAATTGAAATCCTTTTTACGGGGAAGGGGGTCAGTGGGATATTTTTTTAATTTGTAGAGTCATTTAGAATTTTTCGAAGTTATGAAAGTGAAGAAAACCGCAATGTCCTCGCCGAAATTCGAACTCTGGACATCTCGAACACGCGTTGATCGTGCTTCCAGCTGCACTACTAAGGCATACAGAGAGAAGGGAGGAAATACCTTATAAATTCTAAATATTAAAATATACTGTTTCTTCAAATGAATACAGAAAATCTTTTGTTGGTTTGGAAGGAAAGATATTGGGTTAAACAGCTCGCATTCCATAAAATTAAAGCTAAATTATGGGCGTAATTAAATCATATGTGGATTAAACTTGAAAGAAAACTAAAAAAACAAAAAAATCACATCAGGATGAAATTTCAAATTTTTATAATAATTAAACTATACTATATATCCAAATTTATTTAGTCAACAATCGAATTTAAACTTGCACACTTTCTGAAATGTGTGTTCTTTGGTTACAGCAAAAACGTAACACGGATATATTTCTGTGCTGCAAAACTTGGATCGACTTCTCAATATGAGTAGTATTTTGTTATTTTATTATTTAATTTTTTATTTAAATTTCATATTATAGGCAGCTATGCCGAATTTTTTCAATTGTGAATATTTGAAATAAAATTTATTTTGATAACAATAACAGCAAGGTAAAGCAAAAGTGTTATGTAATGTTTTGTTCAAATTTTGTATGGCTAAATTTCATTGCACACACAATTTTGACGTTTTTCAGAATTGTGACTGAAATATATACAGACGTGTATTAAAATAACGCTTTATCCATGATTTTTATTCAATTTCGAAGCGAGCAATGGCAACACTGTATGGGGAAAAAATATTTTATATCTCCAGGGCGCGAAACTGTGTATCGGAAATTTTAAAGATACGCTCTTTTTAAATTATTTTGTGATATTTGCTGTTGAATTTGAACATAAAAATATAAAACCTAAAAGCTTTCAGATTTATTTATTTATTTACTTCTATACAAAATCATTTTATTAAATAAATGTTATTTCTTTTAAGATTTTTAGCAAAAAATAAATAAATAAATTCTTTTTGTGTCTTACTACTTAAATATTTATAATTAGCTCAATTTTCCCAGAAGGGTTATTAATTTGGTTTTCGCATTTTGCGTTGGTTCAATATAAACGGCTTTTCAGGTTTTTCTAATTGTTGCTACTAAATATTAGAGCCCTGGATTATATTTAAGGAAATTAAATAATGAAGAATCTGCATGAATGTATGTATGTTTCTGGCATTGTGAAAAAACAATGATACCTAGAGTCATCAAATTTTGAATAACGTAGTCCTTCACTCAAATATGGGCATCTGGAATCCTAAATTTGGAATACGTTTTATTATCTGTTTAATATTTTGTAAAACTTTAACGAATTTTTGATTACCGAACACAACGATTTCAAAGCGAGCAATGGCGACACTGTATGGGGAAAAAATAATTTTTATCTCCAGCGCGCGAAACTGTGTATCGGAAATTTTAAAGATATGCTCTTTTTAAATTATTTTGTGATATTTGCTGTTGAATTTAATTTTCTGATAAGAAATAATCATATAATATTTTCTAATAAGAACATGGCATTTGAAAGGTAACACACAAAACTTTAAAAATAAACGCCCTTTTGGAAGTAATATAAAACCTAAAAGCTTTCAGATTTATTAGTCCAAAGGGATTTGAATCCCGAAGGACTATTAGTTTCGTTTTGGCATTTTGCGTCGGACTCATAAATGTCGGTTCACTTTTCAAACTGTTGCCACAAAATGTTAGAGTCCTGCATTATATTTGAAGAAATTAAATAATGAAAAATCTGCGTAAATGTATGTATATTTCTCGTATTGTGATAAAACAACGGTACATAGAGTCATCGAATTTTGAATAACGTAATCCTCCAACGAATATGAGCATGTGGAAGACCAAATTTGAAATTTGAAATTTGTTTTATGATCGATTTCCTATTTTTTAAAACTTTGACGAATTTTTGATTAACAAACTCAAGGATTTCAAAGCGAGCAATGGCAACGTTGTGCAGAAAAAACATTTTTATCTCCAGCGCGTGAGTCTCTGTATCGGAAATTCTAAAGATATGCTCGTTTTAAAACTATTTTGCGATATTGCTGTTGCACTGGATTTTATGGTTTAAGTGCGAGGAACATGATATTTAATAAAGAAAGGTAACACACAAAATGTTAAAAAACGCCCCTTTGGACGTAATTTAAAATCTGAAACATTTCAGATTTTGTTTTTTTAAATTTTATTTTTTGTTTATTTACTTATTTTTAATTTTCTTTGATATTGAAGTATTCCTTTTTGTAGTCACAAAACTTGAATTTTATTAAAATGCACAATATTATCATTGCTGGGTTAATCTGATAATCTTCAGTGTGGTATTTCAATTTCCTTAATTTTTATATGCATATGTGGACAGAAAGAGTTACATATGTGTATAAATAAACTGATTAATCTTTATTTCTGGCAGCTGATTATGCAGACTAGTTCGAAGCAGGCTGAGAATCGAGGGAATTTCCACAGTATTCAAGTTATGTTAGGCCTGCAGCAGGAACTGCAAGGATGTCCGCAACACGAGGCGATCGCAGCCGTGTCTGCGGCACTCGGATATGCTCCGCCACCGGGTCATCCGCAACAATCGCTCTCTTTTGGCGTGTCCAGCGCCAGCAGCATGAGCAGCAGCATGATCAACAGCATCACGCAGCAACAGTATACCACCGCCCGCCTAAGAGACGGTTTTGCTGAACTCGCCGCTTCGAAAGATTCAACGGGTAAATTCAGAATTCTTTAACTAGATTTTTAAGCCTAATTTTCGGAATTTTTACTTTGCTAAGCTTCGTTTTTGTTTATCTGCACATTAAATATTCTCTAAAATAGATGCTTTTGTTCACGAAAGAAATAACTTACTTGATTGATTTTAGAAAAATGAGTTGTTGAAAAAAATGCGCTATTGAACATTTATTTATTTATTTTGTTAAGTGATGTAACTTGCTTGTATGTAACTTACTTCGCGGTATACTTTGTGGAAAAATTTGTGAGTTAAAATTAGTTTTATTCTTGACTTGATCTACGAGTCAATTTTGGCTACCTTTTTAGACATGATTTGGTTTTTATAACTAGTTCTTGCATAGAATAATTAATTATTGTAAATCAATCAGAAACTGATTAGTTCCCCTTGAACAATCGGAATTAATTTCCGATTATTAACAATAATTGTTTCAATATTTACTAGTAGCATATTTTTTTTTCCTTTTAATGAATCGTTATAATTCTTTATATACATATATATTTAATTTCAAATTTTAATATTGCCTATTTATAATATAATTTAATTAATTATTATATATTTATCGTTTCAACAAATTACATAGGGGGAATTCGGTAAAGAAGCATTTTCATTAATTAAGATGAAATTAACACGCTGTTATTATTATTTATTCCATTTGATGGTTGTACAATTTCGAAACATTTTTAGCCCAAAGGGCGTTGGCCCAGAAGGGCTATTAAATTCGTTTTGGCATTTTGTGGCCTTTCGCTATAAAAGGCGTTTCACTTTTCAAATTGTTGCCCCCAAATATTAATGTTCTGTATTATATTTAACGAAATTAAATAATGAAGAATCTGCATAATGTATGTATGTTTCTCTCACTGTGATAAAATAACGGTACATAGAGCCATCAAATTTTGAATAACTCCACCCGAATGTGGGCATCCGGAAGCCCAAATCTGGAATTTGTTTCATTATCTATTTCATATTTGTAAAGCATTTATGAGTTTTTGAGTGAGAAACTCAACGATTTCAAGGCAACAGTATACGAAAATACAAAAACATTTTTATCCTAAGCGCGCGAGACTGTGTATTGGAAATTCTTAAGATATGTTCATTTTAAAATTATTTTTCGATATAGCTGTTGAATTGAATTTTATGGTTTAAATGCAAAGAACGTGATATGATATTTAATAAAAAAAGGTAACAAAACATTAAAAAAAAACGCCCCTTTGGGCGTAATATAAAATCTAAAAACTTTCAGCTCTTTTTTTTTTTTTTTTTTTTTTTTTTTTTTTTTTTTTTTTTTTTTTGTTTTTTGTTTCTTTTCCTTTTGATTTAATATTGATCATGAATTTTACTCCTTGCATCATTTTTTATAAATCATAGAAACATATTCATTTGGCTATACAAGTTATTTTCAAAATAAGAAACTCAAACATAATGCATTTATAATGAACAACTTTAAGACTGATATTACTTAGATCAAGTATGGTTTAAAAACATCCATTGAAACTATCCTTGTTATAGACATGTATGATCTTAAATAGAAATACACGTCAATAACGCCACTCTCTTCATCTATAAGTTTTGCTAACTTTATTTGCTGAAAATTCTTAATACATGCAAATAATAACTTTTTTACCAATTCTTGGAATATAATATACAATATTTATGGCGTAGCATTTGTAACTATCATCATCCGTATTTATTAGATGTATTCATGGGTTTGATATTTATTATTTTATATTTAAAAATTATTGTTCTTATTTAATAGATCCATCAAAACAGACGACAGCTACTTCAAATGATAAAAGTTCGCCAGCAACAAGCAGTACCGCAGAAAAAACAGTGAAGAAAAAGAAAACGAGGTAAGTTGAAAAATCTGTGCAATTATATAAAGCGATTGTATTCTTCACTTCGTTTTATAATACAATGTAGATGCCATGTCTGACTGTAAGGGTGATATCTTGAAAGAAGTCAATGAGTTACTAAAACCTGAGATGGAGAATTTAAGCTGCATTAAAAGATTTTCTTCCGGTTATCCCCTTCTTTGAAGAGGAATTTACTTACTTTTCTTTAAGAAAGCATCTGACTTTCTTAGTATTAATAAACTGTTACGGTTATAGATATAATGCAGCGTAGAAGGATTGTCTTTTTCTCTATAAGTTGGCAGTGAATGCTCATTATTTTGTAAGCCATATTCTAAATTAATATATAGAGCTCCAGTGAAATACTTAATTGTTTGTTCTTTTAAGATTTATAATGTATATTAGTTTAATTATTATAAAAATTATGGATCTATCTGCTAGTAAGAACTGCTATTGTGAAAGACATTTTACAGAAAACTTTTACGAAATTTACTTAAAATTCAGCTTCGTAAATTTAACTTTAAAATTAGTATTTACTTTTACAAAATGATGATTTTATCGCTTGTCAGTACCTGTACAATTCAATCTTTGCTTGAATTCAAATGAAAAGTTAATGGCATTCATTTTAATGCTTTCCAAAAACAAAATGGCAAAATCTTTTTTTATTAATAGCAAATTAATCCACTTTAAAAAAAATCAAAGACAATGAAATTTTCTCTTTTCATTTAAAACTATTGCCAAGGAAAGGTTGAATATTATAAATAGTCAAAGCTGGTGTACATTTCTTCTTTTATTAGCTTTTATGAAATCATAATAGTTACAGTAAACTTCGAGAAGGTATTACTCAAGAGTTTTTCTTGGAAGCAAATAATGTGATTTCAACAGTTAAAAGAGGACGAATGTAGATCAAGACAATTATTTTTTATTACTTTTCTCAATGAAAGGCGTCTATATTCGAAAATTTCAGCTGATCCAATGAATTGAGAATCGTTCCCCCCCTCCTCAGAAACATTTTTGTTTAAATTGTCAATTGATAGATTGCTTTAAAGAACTGATAATTACTTTAAATAAAGATAAATTGCTTAAAGAATTGATAATTGCTTTAAAGAACTGATAATTACTTTAAATAAAGATAAATTGCTTAAAGAATTGATAATTGCTTTAAAGAACTGATAATTACTTTAAATAAAGATAAATTGCTTAAAGAATTGATAATTGCTTTAAAGAACTGATAATTACTTTAAATAAAGATAAATTGCTTAAAGAATTGATAATTGCTTTAAAGAAAGATAAATTACTTTGAAGAATGTTAAGAAAGAATTTCAGAAAACTAAATATAATAACTGAATTAATGTATATAAAAAGTAAAGTTTTTATATAGTAAAGTATATTATTATTTTCACTAAAATATCCTAAATAATACTAATAATAATTTACTACAAAAACTTTGTGTTAATAGGTAAGCAATACATAAAGTTAAATTCTTTTCTTAATTATAACGCTGAAAATGTTCAGAATTACAGATGATACGACCCTAAATTGTACATATTATCGAATCTAAGTTTTAAATTTTTCTTGAACATTTTGAATTATTTCTATAAGAGTAATGATATGGAAGAAAACAAAAAGAAATCTTATCTTATTGTGAATATTTTTTAATTAAAAAACTATAAATTATTTTTATTAAACTATTATTTTTACTAAAAACAAATTTAAAGTTTTCATAAATAGATTAATTTAACTGATTTTGTTTACAGTTTTCAGAAGATTTTTAAATTAAAGCAAGCGCAAAGTGAAGGGGAATACATAATCATTTAATTTTTTTTTTTTTTTTTAAAGAAAAAGAAAAAGAAAAAATCTGAAAGTTTTCAGAGTTTAAATTACGTCCAAAGGGGTGTTTTTTTAACGTTTTGTGCGTTACCTTTATTTATTAAATATCATCTTCTTCGCACTTAAACCATAAAATTCAGTTTAATAACAATGTCGCAAAATAATTTTAAAATGAGCCTATCTTTAAAATTTCCGATACACAGTTCCGCGCCCTGGAGATAAAAAGGTTTCCCACCCCCGTAGAGTGTTGCCATTGCTCGCTTTTAAATCGTTGAGTTTGTTACTCAAAAATTCGTTAAAGTTTTACAAAATATAAAATCGATCATAAAACAAATTTCAAATTTGATCTTCCACATGCCCACATTCGTAGGAGGATTACGTCATTCAAATTTCGATGGCTCTACGAACCGTTGATTTATCACAATGCGAGAATTATACGTACATTTATGCAGATTTTTCATTATTTAATTTCTTCAAATATAATGCAGGGCTGTAGCATTTGGTGGCAACAGTTTGAAAAATGAAACGGGCATTTATAGTGATTCAACGCAAAATCGCAAAACGAAAACAATAGCCCTTCAGGGACAAAGCCTCTTTGGACTAAAAACATTTATAATAGAATGCTGAATTCGTTTCAGAAAATTAAGAAATATAAAAATCTCCTTTAGTTTAAGAATTCATAAAAACACACCTACAGTGTGAAATATAAAGCCCTGAAATGTAATCAGAGAGGTCAGGGCTGGCCTCTTTATAGTGATCCAGGTTCCATTAAAATGACAAGAATCGTGTTCTTTTCTTTAATAAACTCTTCTATTAAACTTCAGTAAAATAGATAAAATCTTCAAAGTTTTAAATTAACAAGTTTAGTTGCATTTTTGATTAGTACTGGAAAAGTTCAAATTACGGAAAAAAGTGCCGATTTTCGAATTTTTAAATCTGGAATCTTTTTCAAGACTCGTAGGCTTCAAGGATTTGAGAATTCGAATGTAGCAATTAGATGTATTATAAATTAAATGAATTTTAATATAGACATAACGTTGAAAAGAATTAAATTATTAAGAAGCAAGTTCCTTGCATTCAAATCAATCCACTTTTTAAGCACTGATATCTTATAATAATAAAAGCAAGTGTAAGTCTGTCTGTCTGTCTGTCTGTCTGACCGAGCTCTCCAGCCAAATCTATGGCACGCAGGGACCTGGAATTTTTTATACGGAAGCACAAAGGGGCTGGCCACCAGACCTCGAAGCCCGATTTTCGATTTTTGAATTAGAAAAATTTTAAAAAAAAAATTATTTATAATTAATTAATCACGGTTTTTTGACTCACTGATATTATTATTTGTTTTCAAATAACGTTCGATTGTAACAATTGATTTCTTTATTCTAGCGTTAGTTTGCTGTTTTGACGATACATTAAATCGATTAATTACAATTCATTTCTTTTTTGTAGCTTTAGTTTGCTGTTTTCATGACACATTAATTTCTTTTTTTTTTTTTTTTCAGAATTGCACTTTATAAACTTTTTGTTTCTTAATTAATATTATCATGGTTTTTTGACTCACTGATCGTGTTGCTATTATTTATTTTTAAGTAACCGTTCGATTATAACAATTGATTTCTTTATTGTAGCGTTTTCTTCAGTTTTTGTAATCATTCTTCTGTTGGTTGCTTAACTTTTGCTTTTCAGATTTTAGAAGAAATATGCCGCAGCCACCTCGAAAAAGAATGTTTGGAAAATAAAAATCGACAAGAGAGCGATACCCTCGCCAGTTCTTGAAAGAGACGCAGACGGGACAAGACGGATATCCACTGTATCGTCGTAGAAGCCCTGCAGATGGAGGTTTTACAGCAAGCATCAATCACGAGGATCAGAAGTTTCGGTGGACAATGCCTGGATTGTTCCTTACTGTCCACTACTATCCAAAATTTTTAACGCACATATCAACGTTGAGTACTGCAATTCTGTCAAGTCCATAAAGTATGTATGCAAGTATGTCAATAAAGGATCCGACATGGCTGTATTTGATGTCACCAGTGGAGCCAATGAACTGAATGAAATTCATCAATATGAGATGGGAAGATACATTAGCAGCAATGAAGCAGTGTGGAGAATACTCAACTTTCCAATCCACGAACGTCATCCCACAGTCGTTCATCTAAGCGTCCACCTTGAAAATGGCCAGAGAGTGTACTTCACTGAAGAAAATGCTGCTGAACGGGTCCAGGCACCCCAGGAAACAACGCTCACATCTTTCTTCAAGCTGTGCACCCAAGATAACTTTGCTCGCAATTTACTTTACAACCAAATTCCAAACTACTACACATGGAAAACAGGCAGGAACAAGAGTTGGAACCGCCGTAAACAAGGACAAATTGTTCCAGAAGAAACAGGAATCCGGTCTACTGATGCTCTTGGCCGTGTCTACACACCGTCCATCCCAACAACTCCGAATGCTTCCACCTTCGCCTATTACTACATGAAGTTAGAGGCCCAACATCATTCACGGATTTGAGAACCGTTCAAGGAAGAGTCTGCAACACTTTCAAAGAGGCCTGCCAACTTCAAGGACTTCTGGAGAATGACGAACACTGGAACACGGCGTTTAGAAGAAGCAGCTGCATCTCGATCACCCAAGATGATGCGTAATCTGTTTGCTGTAATGCTTCAAACGTGCTCCATGTCGGGCCCTGAACAGTTATGGATGAACCACAGGGAGAACTTGTCTGAAGACATACTGCATCAAGCAAGGATCCAGCAGCAGAATATGGACCTGGACTACAATGACGACATCTTTAACAGAGCCCTAATCTACATTGAGAACAAGATAATATCTCTAGGAGGATTGAACCTGAAAAGCTTTGGACTTCCCCAACCTAACAGAAACAGCGATTCTGCCATTTCCAGTGAAGTAATTAGAGAACGAAGTTATAACATGGATGTGCTCGCAGCTTATATACAGGAGAATGAGCCTAAATTGGTCCAAGATCAAAAAGAAGCCTTTGACAAGATTACTAGAGCAGTTTTGATAGGCAAAGGGGTATATTCTTTTTGGATGCTCCAGGCGGAACCGGGAAGACGTTTCTTATCAACCTTATTTTGGCAAAGGTGCGGCACAGAAATGAGATTGCCCTGGCTGTCGCTTCATCCGGCATTGCTGCTACACTCTTGACAGGTGGTAGGACTGCTCACTCGGCGTTCAAGTTACCCTTAAATCTGACAAGCACAGAGACTCCAACGTGTAACATCCCAAGGAATTCAGGAAAGGCAAAGGTTCTACAGGATTGCAAGCTCATCGTTTGGGACGAGTGTACCATGTCCCACAAAGCCGCATTCGAAGCATTAGATGTCACCATGAAAGACCTCAGACGGAACAATGACAGAATGGGAGGCGTCGTAATGGTTTTGGCAGGCGATTTTCGACAGACGCTACCAGTTATTCCGCGTGGAACGAGGGCAGATGAAATGCAGGCCTGCATAAAATCTTCTTACATCTGGAATGGCATTCAAAAAACACTTGGATTATCGACTAACATGCGAGTTCATCTCAACGGTGATCCCTCTGCCCAGCAGTTTGCAGATAATCTAACTGAAACTAGGAAATGGAGCCCTTACTTCAGAAAATGAAGATGGATATGTAGCGATGCAAGGCATTGGAAGGATTGTGACTACTGAAGAAGAACTGAAAGAGGCTGTGTTTCCGAATGTGATTCACCACTTCACTGATCACGCATGGCTGTGCGAAAGAGCAATTCTTGCCCCAACAAACGAAGCCGTCAGTGTTATCAACAAGGAACTTTTACAGAACTTACCCGGAACTCTTCATATTTACAAATCTATAGACACGACATGCAATATTGACGAGGCTGTCAACTATACGACAGAGTTTCTCAACAAATTAGAGCCACCTGGAGTACCCTCCCACATATTGGACTTGAAGGTTGGAGCACCGATAATTCTCCTCGGGAATCTGGATCCGCCTGCACTTTGCAATGGAACAAGACTTTCTATCAAGAAACTGATGCCAAATATTATAGAAGCCACCATCATGACCGGACATGCTGCAGGCGAAGATGTGTTTATTTCAAGAATTCCTATAATCCCTTCCGATCTCCAGTTTCAGTTTAAGCGTCTACAATTCCCTGTTCGTTTGAGTTTCGCGATGAGCATTAATAAGGCACAAGGACAATCTCTCAAAGTTGTAGGGCTCGACCTCCGTAAGCCGTGTTTTCTCCCATGGTCAACTGTACGTGGGTTGTTCAAGAGTTGGTAATGCCGATAATCTACACATATTAGCTCCGAATGGAAGAACATTAAATATAGTTTATCCCGAGGCTCTCTAACGAAAAGGACAATCTAACGAAAAATTATTGCCACTCTCCACTCTCCCAAACTAACTCTGACTATCATGCTTTAAATAGTGATGTTATTGTTTAGTGCTCTCTTGAGAGCATGAGCAATAATCCGAATGGTGCTGCCGTACCAACAGACATTAATCGGTCAGGGGCCCTTGCGACCCCAGCCCGAGCTCCACAAACATACACAAACACTCTCCTCTTCTAATTCATTGTCATCTAAATTAACTTACACTTAAATTAAAAATTTAATTGGTTCTTAACTCCAAATTTCCTGTAAGCAGGATGTTTTATTTCATCCATGTTTTCGTTACTTTTTATTTTTTGTTGTACTGTTATCTTCTTCTGTTTTACCTTCTCTACTTTCCCTTTCCACTCTTTTCTTTTATTTTTTTTTTTGAATTTTTATACTTCTTCTTTACTTCAGACCAATGATTATAACCACATGTTTACTATTTCCTTTTGACTACTTGCATGTGCTAATATGAGGTCTGTTCATTTAACTAATTTTTTTTAACAGATGGCTTTTTTTGGTCATGGTTAGGATATATTGTTCCTTTTTATCGACGGGGAATGTTGTGTGTGTGGGGGGGGGAAGAGAGAGAGACAGTCTACATGTCCTACACTACTAATCCTGCGCTATTCACTTATCTGCATTTTCTAAATGCACGGGCAACGCCGGGCGGGTACAGCTAGTTATAAAATATAAATCAAAAGACCCTTTCCCATACCGTATGGCAATATTTTAGAAATCGGTTGTTTCCACAGCTGCATCGAAGTCATAATAAATGTCTTACCTTTCGGCATAATGAGGAGAATTAACAACTTATTGCACATGATAAACGGCTGATTGCAAATGATGCATACTGAAAACCTAACGGGGATATGATAAAATACATGCTTGAAAACAATGACCGTAACGTGTCAAAAAACTTACGTTAGAATAATGCTATATCCATAAATCTAATATATATTTTACTTCGCGCTTTCGAGACATCAAAAACACAAATTAAATTTTGCTAATCAGCCCAGGAGAACGAGAGATACACAACTGTCTCCCCCCCTTTTTTTCCCAAAGGGACAATTTCCCCAGAGGGACTATTAATTTCGTTTTAGCATTTGGCTTTGGTTCACTATAAAAGTCTGAATTACTTTTCAAATTGTTGCCACCAAATATTCATGAATTATATTTAAAGAAATCAAATAATGAAGAATCTGCATGAATGTATGTATGTTTCTCGCACTGTGAGAAAACAACAGTACTTAGAGACATTTATTGAACAACGTAGCCCTAACGTAGTACGGACATCCGGAAGCCAGAATTTGGAATTTGTTTCATTATTTATTTCATATTTTGTAAAAGTTTAAAAAATGTTTGTTTGACAAACTCAACGATTTCAAAGCGAACAATGGCAACGCTGTACGGGAAAAAAAAAAAAAAAAAAAAAATCTCCATCGCGCGAGACTGTGTATCGGAAATTCTAAAGATACGCTCTTTTTAAATAATTTTGTGATATTGCTGTTGAATTGAATTTTATGGTTTAAGTAAGAAGAGCATGATATTTAATAAATAAAGGTAACACACAAAGCGTTAAAAAACGCCCCTTTGGACTTAATATAAAATCTGAAAGCTTTCAACTTTTTTTTTATTGCAGAGAGTACCTGCATATTTATTTATTTACTTAACTTAGAGTTTAAGTTTCCAGACGATAAAAGTTCATTTGATAGAGTGAGCGAAAATCTACCAATGTAAGTAGAATTAAAGAGATCAAATTGAGGGCTACACCTCGAAAATTTGGCAGGGTTTAATATAAAAATGAAATATAAGAACATTTATGAAGATTATTTTAACAAAGGTTTCCTTAGTACACACTTTATCTTCTCTTCATTCTTTTCCAGAACAACATTCACGGCGTACCAACTTGAAGAACTTGAAAGAGCCTTCCAGCGGGCCCCCTATCCTGACGTGTTTGCAAGAGAGGAACTGGCTCTCAGATTGGCGCTTAGTGAATCAAGAGTGCAGGTAAGATTTTACTTGAAATAGTTCCAGTTTGATTATTTTGTAACGTTCGGCCTTTACTATATAACTTTTTCTTTTCGGTTCTTCACCAGAATAAAATGTGTTTAGCTAGTACTCAAATTGAGGTTTTGGATTTTAAGACAAAGCATGTTTCTGGCCTGTGGGTGCGCGCTACGTTTAGTTCCTGCCATCTCTGATAAGTTGTAATTATTAGGCTTTGCGTTATATCCCTGCCGACACTTGAATTTGATACGCCTGCTAAAGTATTGAGCCAGCTTAGAGTAAGATTTAAAATGCAGTGACTACGGTTCCGTTTTAATTTGAATTTGACTATTCCTTTGGTTGCATCACCACAAATTGTAGTTGATAGGGTTTAAACATCGACGTACATTTATGTTTCGAGCTCTGTTTAAATAAAAAGGTTTATTTAAAACTTTTCCTGACTTTATGTCTGTTAGGAATTTTGGACTAACAGATCTCTGTTAAGATCCCGAAAGTTGTCTAGATTTTCCTGTTCCTGAAGTATGGTTAAATGTTTTAAAATGTAGCATTGTAGAGTTATTGGGATTTCTGAAGTTGGAAACAAGAAAAATGAGCAATGTCCTCGCCGGAACTAGAACCTGGACTTCTCGAATACGAGTCGAGTGTGCTACCGTTAACACCACGAAGGCACGCAAAAAGGAGAGAAAAAAATCCCTTTTAAAGAACGACTGAGAATTAGAGGACCCAATTACCAAATCCTGGTGGTAAAGAATCATCATCCATCACCATTTAGTTCGGGCGCCACTGTTCAGTTATTAGGATATTTTGACGCGGGAGACGTAAAAAATAAGCAATGCCCTCGCCGGAAACCTGGATCTGCCTCGAACCTGGATCTCTCGAATACGCGTCGAGTATGCTACCATCCAGAAAGGAGGGAGAAAATGCCTTATAATATTACTTACAGTGAAAGAAGCAATTCAAAATAACACATATATTGCATTGCAGCTGTAAATAAGTTTATTTATTTTTGAAATTTTGTAAAACTGAAAATAACGAGGAGGTTTCAGAGATTTATCTAAAATGGCAAATAAAGCCAAACTTCTTCGAAATTAATGAAAATTAATTTATTTAAAAATTCGATATACCTGTGCATTTCTTTTTCTTATGGTTACTATTAAAATTTACTAACTGTTAATTTAGAAGTACTGTTATAAGAATCCTAACTGTTAATTTAGAATCCTAACTGTTAATTTAGAATCCTAACTGTTAATTTAGAATCCTAACTGTTAATTTAGAATCCTAACTGTTAATTTAGAATGTTTTTTTAGAATGTTAATTTAGAATGTTTTTTAGAATGTTAGTTCTAACAGAATGTTAATTCTTAACAGAATGTTAGTTCTAACAGAATGTTAATTCTTAACAGAACTTTAGTTCTAACAAAATGTTCTCTATAGAATGTTAATTCTAACAGAATGTTAATTTAGAATGTTTTTTAGAATGTTAATTTAGAACTGTGTTTAATAATCCTAACTGTTAATTTAGAAGTCAAACAACAAAAATCAGCGTTATATTTTCAAATTTTCACAGGACTAAATTCGATGGTTTTACCGAACCATCATCCTCAGCTTCGAACGCTGATTTTTGTTGTTTGACTTCTAAATTAATACTTGTTCGGCGTGTTATTGTATCTTAATTCTAACTATTCTAAAAAAAAAAAAAAAAAAAAAAAAAAAAAAAAAATTTACGGGAGACTTAAAAGGCGAAGAATTTGAAATAATCTCCGAAAAAAGAAGAATTTTTTCTTGCTAGCGTCATCGATTTTTGCAGATCGTTCAAAACGGAAAGTTGACGGCTCATTAGTTCTCTTAATAGGTACTTATGATTTTTGTTCAACTGCGCATGCAACTCAATCGATATGCATGTAGATATCGATTCAGAGAATATGCATGTCGGCCCTCAATCGATATGCATAATCTCTCAAACGGAAAGTTCAAAAGGAAACGGAAAGTTCTCAGATCGTTCAAAACAGAAAGTTGATAGCTCATTAGTTCTCTTAATAGGTACTTATGATTTTTGTTCAACTGCGCATACAACTCAATCGATATGCATAATCTCTCAAACGGAAAGTTCAAAAGGAAACGGAAAGTTCTCAGATCGTTCAAAACAGAAAGTTGATAGCTCATTAGTTCTCTTAATAGGTACTTATGATTTTTGTTCAACTGCGCATACAACTCAATCGAAATGCATGTAGATATCGATTCAGAGAATATGCATGTGGGCCCTCAATCGATATGCATAATCTCTCAAACGCATATTTTTAAAAACAATAGAGTTTCACATGCACAATCAATAAGGCTATGAAAACATATTTTAACACTGGACCTAAATACGTGAATTAAAAATGTTAATAACTTTTAGCGCTTTCATAACAATAATAATTTATTGTAATTTAATTTTGCATTAATTTTTTGCAAGCCAGATCTGGATCGCTTATGAGTACATCATATTTCTTGCTTAAAGAAAAGAATTCATTAGGACGTTACCGCATTCAAATTTTGTAATATATTCACGACCAGAGGAAGTAAAAGTGGCAAATATCATGGAAGCCTGCAGTTTGACATGTTAATATTTGCATCATGGATAGCAAAAGAAACATGCCATTAATTGCGGGCAAATACGTTTCCTAGCATTTTACAATAATTTACACAATGAACCCGAACTTCTCTTGGGAAGTACAAAACTTGCAAATTTCTGCGTGTGCCAAAATACTGATTGACTGAAATCGAAATTATTGAACTTTTCGTTTCTTTTTTTAAAATTATTAAGATTAATATTTAACTAAAAAAATCTTACTAATTTATTCCCTTTTGTTTTAATAAAAATTCGAATATTGTTTGCAAAAATACACGTGTTTGTACATGCATGCCTAAAAAAACATAGCTACATCATTTAGAAATAAGTCCATCAACCTGTAATGCTGCTTATTTACAGCGTAGTTTTCATATGGTCAGTTTGATAAAAGAGATTTCAGATAATTTAATGTTAACTCATCTAATACGGAAAACATTCTTATAAAACTGTCCAATGTCCTTCGAACTGCTTTAGTAAAACAACACTTACGAATGCGAATTAAACAGGGGTATTATTTATAAATAAAAATTTAATTAATATTTTAATTTACTAATTTTCTATTCTAAATTTAAGATAATACTTTCCCTTTAGTATAAGGAATAGAAATGTGCTACAAAATGTTTATTTTTCATTTTTTAGGTTTGGTTTCAAAACAGAAGAGCAAAATGGAGGAAAAGGGAACCACCAAGAAAGACAAATTATTTACAAACAGGTATAAACTGATTTTATATTTACATTCAGGGCAATGTAATCTTCTTTCCTTTCCTTTGAATGCTTGTGGATCCTTTGCAGTAGCTTTTGAGTAATATATGCTTAATTCTCAGTACTTAAAAGTTAATAATTGTATTTTAGGAACGTCCCCATCCATCACGAAGACCTTTGCTAATACCACACCGCTTCCATCCCTCACCGCCAACATGGACAGTAGTTGGGCCAGTTTTACCAGCAGCCCATATGATTTTGGCTTCCAAAACGCCCTCGCTACTTCTCCTTATGCTGGATTTTCCACAAGCCCGCATGGTAATCTCGGAACGAGTGCAGCTTCTTCTGGGTTTTATGGTGGAATGATATCTCAAGGCGATCCACTCTTGCCTTCTTTAACACAAACAAGAACAGATATGCACCAGAATTCCAGTCTCAATAAGTCACCAAGTCCACCAAATGTTTATGGAAACGGAAACAATTCAGCCTCAGATAAAAAGATGGGGGGACTTTCTGGACTTGATCCCCCAGACGTGGATCCTCACCGACTCATAGCTTTATCACCATTGATGCTCAAGAATAAGGACAACTCCGTATCACCTTTGCCTTCCTTGGACTTTTTCACTTAAACGTTTGCCAATTTTTGCCATGAAGTTAAAATCCTTCCATCTGGACAAAACACAGTTTAAGTGTTCACGACTACCCACATAATGCATATTTTTGAGCTTAAGCACTCTGTATTAGACTGCAGGCTTTAGATCTGTAAATTCATTTATCAAGCTTCATTTATATATATATATACTTGTCATGTTTTATATTCGTGAAAAACTGACCTGTCTTACAATCAGCGACATTTGTGCTTTGTGGCAGAACGATTGGTCTTTGAAAGCTCAGTCATACCTCCTGATATCTAACAGGACTTTATAATAAAAGTAGTTGTAGCTACTTATACTAGAGCAACCTTCGAAAAGAATATGCACTGCATTTTGAAGACAAGAGAAGTTGTGATATAAAGGCGAAGAAATTAGAAATCGTGAATATGTAATTTTATCATGCTGTTTATATGTAACATTGCTAGTACCTTGATGCACACATTCAAAGTTCAAATTCAGTACATATATACATGCGCACATGGAAGAAGAAGAATGAAGCAAAATCTCATATTTTAAAGTGTGTTATGATTTTGAATGTGAATCTTATGTGTTTGAATACATGCACGCTTTTTTTTTTTTTTTTTTTTTTTTTTTTGCTTGCAGAAAAGAAAATATGAAAATAGCAACAGATAGATTTTGAACATTATTACATATTTTTAAGTAACTAAACTGTTGAAATTATATTTTGGTTTGGTTTATTGAGATCACGGCAAAGCACCCTAGGGCTATCTGCCTAAGGGGAGGAATGCCTCCATGGAGGACTTTCTAAGGGAAACTGGCTCGTATACACGTTACACATGGGGAAAACCACGAAAACGCCCATGCAGCCAGCCCGTTCGCGGGATTCGAACCTCGAACCGAACTACCAGTGTTCAGCGATTTTACCCCTCGGCCGCTAGTGGATGGAAATTATATTTTATCAGGTACCTAAAGCATATCTAATAATATTCTAAAGCCGTGATTCTCAAATTGTGGCACATGTATCTCCAAAAGCAGCCAGCAACTTGAGGGCGTAAGCAAGCAGCTCTCAAGTAAGAATAGTTTGTTTCAATAATTTCTTTTGCATTTTAAAATAAGGCCCACCAGCGGCCGAGCGCTAAAGTCGCTGAACACTGATAGTTCGGTCCGAGGTTCGAATCCCGCGAACGGGCTGGCTGCATGGTCGTTTTCGTGGTTTTCCCCATGTGTAACGTGTATACGAGCTAGTTCCCTTAGAAAGTCCTCCACAGAGGCATCTCTTCCCTTAGACAGATAGCCCTAGTGTGCTTTGCCATAATTAAATACAACACCACCAACACCATTTTAAAATAAAACTAAACGTAGAGGTAAAAAGGTTAGCTCATCTTGCTGGCCATGCACATCGGATGTTTTTCTCGTAGGTAACATTTTGTTTTAAATCTTATTATATTTAAGAACAGCTGTTTGTATATTATGTACCTAAAAATAAGAATTACAGCAAGCTAAATTTTGAGTTCCACCATTGGTCGAATGTTTCAACTGATCAACAAAATATAAAAACGGTATATTAAGTAAGCCATTTAAGCATATTCTTTCACAGAAAAATTCTTTGAGGATTCCTTTTCTCAGCTTCAGAATTAAGATTAAAAATTTCAAAAAGAAAAATGTGGGTTAAGATTTGGTTTTTGTTTTTTTTTTTTTTTTTTTTTTTTTTTTTTTTTTTTGTTTTTGTTCTTTATTTTCAAATGAATTACTAAGAATGAAACTTGAAGTAATTTACTTTGCTAAACAACTTTACTCTACTAACTAACTCAGAGTAACTTACTTTACTAAGTAACTTTAGTCTACTAACAAACTCAACTTTCTTTGAAAGGTATTATGTAAGTATACACGGACACTGTACAGAAAAATTAAATCATTTCATTAACTATTTTTGAGGATTCTCAATAATGTTAAGACATACACACACCCCAAAAAAAGGGAAAAAAGAGAATAATTTAAAAAGTTTGAGCTATTTTAGAACAAGTATGCTCTAGCGGTAGATTAAAAAGTGCTTCAGAGGTTTTCAATTAATTATAGATGCTTTTTAAGGCATCTCCTGGGAAATGCTGCCTTCGAGATGCATTAATGTTTTAGCCGTAAACAAGAGTACAATCTAAGAAGAATTTGAGAACTTCTGCTTTGAAATATATATCTTTATATCTTCTTCAGTACCAATAAAAAAAAAGCTTCAGCTATTTTAATACCGTATGCTTTACATGTGTTAAATTTCACTGCATGCATTTGTTATTACTGAATTCCTATTCATTTAAAAAATATATACATAATTTCTGTGTAATAATGTAGCCTTTCATATTTACCGCTAAAACATTTGAATTAAATTATAATTTTAATATTCAGATTTTTGTATTGCACCCAAAGAGGCTTTTTTTAACGTTTTGTGTGTTACCTTTATTTATTAAATATCATGTTCTTCGCTTTTAAACCATAAAATTAAATTTGACAGCAATATTACAAAATAATATTATATCACACTAAGGAATAAACGTGATTCTCCTCATGAAAACCATGTTATGCAAGTTTTTATTATTTTTATGCACAACACATCTCATACATAAGTAATTTAGACTGAAATGTAATCCAAGTATAATTAATTAGGTAATCCAAGAAAAAGAATAAAGAATAAAGTAACCTAGTAAGCAAAAAATATATGTTAAATTCCGAATTCTAAACATTTGTTGACATAAACATTTATCGCAAGGCCTGCCGGGAAAAAGATATCAGATGATTGCAAACGCACGATCGCCAGCGATCACATACTCATTTTATTTTCAGCAATTTCAAAAGTGAATCGACGCAAAATACCAAAATTAATATTCCTTCTGGGCAAATTGCTCCTTTGGTTTAGTATAAATAATGTATTTTAAAGATGTGATGTGATGTTGAAAAGACTGTTTGACAAATGAGTTGATAAACGCTTTTGTTACTTTGTCTCGCAGGTTATCCATGCAGTTAGTAGCATTTACGAAACACGTGTAATATATTTCTCATTTTTACATATAAATATTAACTGCCTCTGTAAGCTGTTGTGAAACTTTTTATTGATTCGCAAATATCCATTATGCATATATCTAAAACTTTTCTGTTCTTTATCTTGAATTAAGTTTGATTTTCAGTTAGTATTCCTTTTATTCGTCACGAATTAATATCATAATTAAATATGCGTGTGTAAATAGTTTTACAGTATTTCTTAAAACTAAGTGTTGTAAATTATTAAATGATTTTATGTAGTATCATTCGAACAAACTGTGTACCAAATTGCGTGTCATTTGTAAATAGTTTATGTATATCTGGACTCTTAATGAGTGCCAATGGTTTCACCGACTTGCCTTATCTGTTGATATTGTGCTGCCATTTTGTGGTATCAGAAGCTCAAATATTTTGCGTACAGAATTTTAATTCCTCGAAATTTATGCTACAAAAATGTGCTTCTTGAATTGTAGCAATTATGTGTGAGGGAAATAAAAGTGTATATTTAAGTATTTTGATTGTGTTTATTATTGTACATTACTTTTATTATAATTTGTACGAAACAAAATTACTTGGGAGCTTGTACACTGGGACATATAGCATATTCATAATATATTTTTTAATAATTAACATTTCTAAAAAATTTAACATTTCTAAAATTTTTAATTAACATTTTTAAAATTTTGTAAAATAATTTAGCACATTTTAAAACATAAACATTTAATTATTCGAAATGAATTTGAAAGGAAAGGAGCTGACCCATAAAGTAAATTTTTTTAAAGTGCTTAACCTTTAAAGTGTTCTGTACCTGTAATATATTATTACTGTTTTGTACAGTAATCAATAGTGCATTAAAATATTTTACTTGAAAAGACAAGTAAAATATTTTAAACTAGCATTTATTTCAGGAAACAAAATAAACGTAACTCGAATTGGTAAATATTCAGACTAACTATTAGCTACAAAATAAAAAATCTAATGTGGACACCACATGAACTTCCTTGTGATTTTAAATTATGCCCATTTTTTGATGCATTTCATTTAAATTATTCCCCCCAATTTCATTAGAAATATATTTTCTCACTCAATTAATTCAGTTCTCATTTCGCGTCAAGGCATAAATACTTAAAAACTCAAAACATCTTCATTTAAAATTGTAAAATACGGGTAAACACAAAACATCAAATACAGTTTAAAATAGTTAAAAAAAAAATTTACAATTAAAATGAGAGTTTCTACGCATAAACCGGCGATTCGGCTAACGGGGAAGAAGCTAGATTTTTTTTTTTCGGCGTACAAAACGGAAAATTTACTTATGATCTTACTCGACAAAAAGACACTGAAGGTGCAGAAACTGACTTAATTCACTATTCTACTAAGAATTTCAAATCTAAAAAAATAGCGACTTCGTTAAGCTTAATAGCACTTAAGCAAATTATTGATAATTTTACGACTATTGCATGCAGATTAAGTAAAGGCATAAAACCTTAATTGGAACATAAGAACAATATGTTTCAATCCCTTTTCAAGCAAAAAAAAAAAAAAAAAAAAAAAAAAAAAAAAACACTATTTTCCAACATATGTGAGTAAAAGACGTAGCTCACTGAGCCGGGTAATAGAGTAGGTATATATACCCATATATATATGTATATTATATCCCCATATATACCCATTACCCATATATACCCATATACATATATACCCATATATATATATACATATATACCCATATATATATATGTGTGTGCGTAATGAGAAGAGAAATTGTAGTTAGCTGGCCAAAAAGTTATATATATGTGTGTGTGTAAGATATAACAAAATACGATAGCTGCTTTAAGAAATAATTGGTGATAAAATTAACTATTCTAGATTTTATGTACAGCCCCCTAAATTCATCTGTTCTTGCAAATTTGAGATCTTTCCATGTTACATAACAACCGAAAATTAACCAATCACAGCTTTGAGTACTTTCTGTATCTACTTAGTATAAATACTCTTTGCAAAACAACTACATCATTCGTTTTCCTAGTTTCTACTTTGCCAACACCTTTGCGCTGCTTTGCTGCCGTCTAAGATGCATCTCATATCTATAGAAATCAGTATAGATAAATATTATCGCATTTAATATGATTGGATAAACTTCCTGACTACAAAAAATAATCTGATAGGAATTATAATGGAATACAACTATGTTTTGAAACGGCTACGTCTGGAAATTTGAAATTTACGCATCCATTTATCTAATTACGTAGACTTCACGCTGCAGCATATCAAAATATCCATCATCGACCATGACGACTGCAAGCTGTTAAAAATATTGGATTCCTCCTAGGCACCTAAAATACTACACACACACACACACACACACACGCATATATATATATTTGTAATAATAAAATTCCATAGTCAAGAATACACTTGAATTTCTAACTGTATATTCTTTTCATTTTTAATGGCGACGTTCTCTTATTTGATAGTACGTGGAATTAAATCCACAGCCCCGTAGTCAAGTTGTTTTTCCCGATTTTTCTACACGTACAGTTTTAGAATGTTCTCGAGATATTTAAAGCGAACTGGATTGGCTGACGAGGCTGACGTCATTTCTTGGAAGCTCCGCCTGTCCAGA